ACTCATCTACATTGCTGTAACATTAAATTCTAATGGAAATCTCTGAAAACTACTCTTAAGTCTCTGATTATGGTAAACAGGAAAAACTTGTTTCAATCAACTAAAGAGTTAACCTACTTTTTCCCCAACGCAAAAGAGTAAGTGTTCCCAAAGTCCCTGTGGTACATAGAGAAAATGAATTTTTTTCATTACATTGTTTTAAATGTAGAATCCAAACAACTTTTATTTGTGCATGACTAGTAGATTTAACTGAGCAATGCATAAATTTGGGAGACTTTTCAAAGGACCTTGTATTATTTTTTTTTAATGAGCCCAATGAAAATGGAAATACGAAAACCAAACTCACTGCTGTAGAGTTGGTCCCGACTCATAGCGAGCCCTCCTTGGATATCCGAGGTAGTATCTCTGTGGAAGTAGATTGCCCAGTCTTACTTCCAAGGAGTGGCTGGTGGGTTTGAATTGCCAGCCTTCTGGTTATCAGTCAAGTGCCTTAGGCACTATGCCACCAGAGCTCCTGAAAATGGTAGTGGGCCCTATGAATATAGCTGGATATGCAGTGGATTCCTCAAATATTTCCTTTATGTCATTATGTCATTAATAAAAACATGTTGGTAGCATGGGAGCTCTGGTGGCGTAGTGCCTAAGGCACTTGACTGCTAACCAGAAGGCTGGCAGTTCAAACTCACCAGCCACTCCTGGGAAGGAACATTGGGAGATCTACTTCCCAAGCGATACCACCTCGGAAACCCAAGGAGGGGTCACTTATGAGTCAGCTCCGACTCCACAGCAGTGAGTTTGGTTTGGTTTTTTGGTTTCTTGGTAAAAAACCTTTTTTCTTTTGGCCAATAGAAGCCTAATCTACCAGAATCTAATTTTTAAATTTGTGTATTTCTCTAATGTTTTCATATCCTATCTCTAAAATGTAATGGGGGGGGGGCTGAACTGAGGAAAGGAAAAAAAAAACAAAGGAGGAGGGAGGAAAGAAGAGAGACATCCTGTAGACAGTGCTTCATAATGAAAAGTTTAGGAAACCAATGTATCTGGATGGTAATAACATGATATCGTTCTCCTGGACATAGAGTTTTATTTGAAAACCCACCCTACTCACTTGCCTCCCAGGCCCCAGTGAGCTTTGGAAAATAACACAAGCTGCCACTCTTTGCAAGGACCCTGGGTAGTGTAATGAGTAAGTTTTTGCCTGCCAACCAAAATGTTGGTGGTTCGAATATACCTAACCACTCCAATGAAGAAAGACCTGGTGACCTGCTCCCTGGTGAAGTCCAGAAAACCCTACAGGGCAGTTTTACTCTGTCACAAAAGAATGCTAGAAGTTGAAATCCATGGCCCCTAACAATAACAGTGCTCTTTGTAGATATGCCAACATGTGTGATTTAGAGTGGGTTTTGATGGGAACAAGGTGTTTAGAAATTCATTAACCCCTTGAAATTGCACTGAAACATTTTTTGTTACATACAATATATACATTTATGTTTATGGAAAGAGAGTCCCTAGCTTTCATCAGATTCACAGAAGTATTCTAACATCCTAGTCTCAATTAAAAAAAAAAAAAGAAAAGAAAAGAAATGGCTAAGAACCACTATTTAGGTCATTGTTGTTGTTGTTACGTGCCCTTGAGTCGGACTCCACTTACAGCGACCCCTCCTTGGGTTTCCAAGGCAGTATCACTACAGAAGTAGATTGCCTCATCTTCCTTCCCAGGAGGGGCTGGTGGGTTTGAACCGCCAGGCTTCTGGTTAGCAGTCAAGTGCCATAGGCATTAAGCTACTACTCGTTTAGTACCATTTTCTTTTTTCAGAGACAAAGGCTATATGTGTGTCTTGATGGAAAGGCTTAAGGATACTGTAAAGTGGCAAGTTTAATATGAAGTATAACTCCTATAACTAAGAAAGTCAAAAAGGCTTTTTAGTCTATGATGGTTTTTTTCATTTATAGAACAAACTTCCATGTACTATCACTAAAGGAAGTGGGAGAGAATTGGAAGATATATATTTATATATATATAATTTAGCATTAGACTTTTCTAAATATATATGTAGATACACATTTTATATTGATAAGTAATATATATACAAATTATGTATTAAATATAAACATATTCAGCTCAGGGTTAATGTAGTTGTTTTGATCATCTTAACTAATATGTATACTTTCTACATAAATATATATATTAGTATTCAGCTCTTGTTAATATAGTTGTTTTCATAATTTTACTTGAGAATCAGTGTCATTGTAAATATAGGAAATCTGATCATCCAGAAAACGCTTCTGTAGTTTTAGAGGTCATTACAATTTGATATATTGAGAAATGTATTTGCAGGAAATAAACAGCCAGTTTCTTACTCTCAGACAAAACAGCGTATGGAAATTGATCTTCTTTATCTGTGTATCCTCTCAAAGGGAGGGGAGATTTTTCAGCTGTCTTTCCTATTGTCCCATAGACCTGAGGTCACTAGAACATTCTACAAGGTCCATTCTAGGACACCTCCCTCCATGAAAGCACTGAACAGGTCACAGTTGGTGTGAGTTGGAGTAAAGATCTGGTTCACAGAATCAGGGCTCAAGAATCAGACTTTGGCAAAGGTCTTTCTTAAAGATCCTAGAATGAGTCTAAGTATATAATTTGGTATAAAACAAGCAGTGTAGTATATTGTTCCTTGATAAGAAGTCAGCAATACAGCACATGTGATAAAGCCAAGCAAAAAGAAAACTCAAACAGAATGGTGCTTTGAGAATATACTTCCTAAAAATAACTTTAAACGTGGTCTTTCCCAAGGCCTATAAAAATACAAATCAACAGGGTGGGGGAGGGAGATATTTTAGATGACTGCATTGCAAATAGCAAATCCTTCTCCAAAGGAAGTGTGCTGTATTAGCATTTCAAGTTAGCCCTTAATCTTCAAAGTGCTCTTCAACAGGAACCTGCTTAATCCTCATAATCAGCAGCAAAAGAGGAAAGTGTCTCTTTGACAGACAACAAAACAGAGCTTTAAAGGGACCCATTGTCTGGATCGCTAAAGGGCTTCTGGAAAAATGAAAGAGTGACAAGACTTTTTCACTTCCACCCCTTCAGGAGTTTGAAGGAGTAATTCTTAAAACCATCCCTTGCACAAAAACCCTGATGGCACTACAGATCCTCTCTCTTTCCCAATTCCTTCTGGGTAGCAAGAAGAAATCTTGGCATCTTGCCTTGATTGACATTGTTTTCTTAATATAAATTCAAAATGGTAACCATTTTTGTATAACTGGCTATTTGTACCAGTTCCCTTAAGATGAAAATCAGACCATGAAAACACTGACTTGAAAGACACAAAGCCCTAGAAGACTGGATTACTTATACGTTGGAAGGAAAACAGATCACATAAAATCACATGAAGGCTCTTAGGAATGGTGCAAAAAAATCAAACCACAAACTATTATTTTCTCACTAGGAAACAATTTCTTGATGTAAGATAAAACCATAGCAAAATAGAGAGGAAGAAAATGAGCTTACAAAGCCTTTTTAGTTCACATTTACAGAACTAGTACTGTATTTTGATTATTTCTTTTTTTAGTTAACTGCTTTGTGTGCCCTACAAAACAGTTTCATTTTTATGGTACTGACTTAATTCCCTAACTATTCTGATAAGTTATAGTGAGAAAATGGTGCTAAATCAAGCAGGAGTTACTCAATAAACCATGATAACATATTAACTTAAAAATTAACTTCTTTCTCATCATCTCCCTCATGGGCATTGGTTTCTAACACTTCCCTTTAACATGTTAGGTTGAACTATATGTAAGTGCTTGTGGTAGACTAACTTTTACATGAAAACAGTCATTTCTTATGGTTCAACATAAATTGCTTAACTACTTGAAGAAAAAGGTTGATTTAAAAAATTTAAAAAAAAAAAAAAAAAAAACACCCTTAATTCAGTTCAATTCAGCAAATGTTTACTGAACACCATCATGTGCCTGGTACCTTATTCAGTAGTGAAGGACAATAATGGTACAAAGCAGATGTCATGACTCTGGGGTATTTTTTAAATGACTGTTAGGCTACTAGGAGCTCTGGTAGCATAGTGCCTAAGGCACTTGACTGCTAACTAGAAGGCTGGCGGTTCAAACCCACCAGCCACTCCTCGAAAGGAGGTTGGGCAATCCTACTTCCGTAGTGATACTGCCTCGGAAACCCAAGGAGGGGTTGCTATGAGTCGGGGCCGACTCGACGGCATATAACAACAACAACAACAACAACAACAGGCTACTAGGAGCTCTGTGGCATAGTACCTAATGCATTTGACTGCTTACCAGAAGCCTGGCAGTTCAAACGCACCAGCTGCTCCTCAGAAAGAAGGTTGGGCAATCCACTTCTGTAGTGATACTGCTTTGGAAATCCAAAGAGGGGTCGCTTTGAGTCAGATCCCACTCAATGGCAGTTTGTGGGTGAATTAGACTGTAAGAATCAATGATCAAGCTGATCATCCATGATCAGAAATAAATAAACCAACAAGCCAAGTAACATTTGACTCAAAAAGAGACATTTGGGCATTTGCTTATTATTCTGAAGACTTCACCAAGATGGGAATTTTTTTAACTTCTCACTTTTAGATGGCAAAACTATAACACTGGATTGCTAAGAAATTCCTTAAGACTGAATTTAGCTTCCTATCTTTTGGCTCCTAGTCCAATGTATTAACCAGTTCCTTCCTCTCCCTCCTCATCCTAGACCCTCTCCCGTAAAGTATAGTAAGCAGTGACTTAACTGACCCCACCACCCTAAGGACTGTTGAGAGAGGGCAAAGTCAAAAGACCCTAGCGGGAAATTCTGCTAAGGAATTTTCTATAAATTTTCGCTCAGTGTTTTATCCTTTCATATATTGTCACCTCCCCTGTGCTCAGTAATTTTAGTTTGTGCTTTTTGTTTCTCTTTTTGTTTCTTTGGTTGGCTGGCTTTGTGTTCTTTTCTCTTTTTTTCCTTTTCTTTTCCTTTTTTAATACAGGAATCGGTCAAGGCGTGCCAGTGGTGGCGCTCATTGTGGAAGGAGGACCCAATGTGATCTCCATTGTCCTGGAGTACCTTCGAGACACCCCTCCCGTGCCTGTCGTTGTCTGTGATGGAAGCGGACGGGCTTCTGACATCCTGGCATTTGGGCATAAGTATTCAGAAGAAGGCGGGTAGGTAATTTACAAAGACCCATAATAGATCTTTGGATGCAAAGCCTATGTTCACAGCTTGCACTATCTCAGCCAAGCTCTCACATCAGAACAGGTTAAGAACATGTTGTCAAAATGGCATTTTCCATGGAGGATGGTAGGGAAGAGCAAAGGCAACTTATTCTAAATGTCCCATGAAGTGGGAAATTTCATAAAAGCTATATTGGATACCGGAGAGCATTGATAATAAAGAGTACAAGCGGAAGAGAGGAAGTCATAGGACACGGTCTCCCTTCTCTTTCTCCCAATCGCAAGAAGCAGGAATTAGACTTGAACCCATGAAGCACAGCTAATCATACTGGAAGAGTGTAGCTTAATGAATCTTAAAGGTGAGGGTGCCCAGCTCCCATGTTTGTTCTCCAAATGCCAGCATTGGCCAGCTGTTTTAAATGTTTGGTGACTGTGCAGTCAGCTTCCTCTAGATTGACTTAGAAAGCAGAATTTTGGTAATAGTGACCACTCTGATGCATTTCAATCGCTTATTGAACACTTTGGGAGCTCTGGTAGCGTAGTGCCTAAGGCACTTGACTGCTAACCAGAAAGCTGGTGATTCAAACCCACCAGCCACTCCTCGGAAGGAAGATGGGGCAATCTACTTCCGTAGTGATACCGCCTCGGAAACCCCAGGAGGGGTCTCTATGAGTTGGGTCTGATTCGACAGCACATAACAACAACAACAACATTGAACACTTTATGCACTTTCCTTGTTCTAAAAACCAGTTGCCATGGAGTCAATTCCAACTCATGACAACCCCACGTGTGTCAGAGTAGAAGGCTTTTCAGTGGCTGATTTCTCAGGAGTAGATCACCAAGGCTTTCTTTCAAGGCACCTTTGGGTGGGCTCCAGCCTCCAATCTTTCAGTTAGTAGCCAAAAGCATTAACTATTTGTACTACCCAGGGACACACATGGACTCAACTTAATGACAACTGGTTCCTTGGGGTAGCAGCCCCCCTACTGCTGCTTTCAGTATCCCCAAGTCCCCAGCTCCAGGTCTCCCTTTTGCAGCCCTTCTGAGTTCCCATTCAATGAAATCCAGGCATTCGTACAGTTTGTTAGATCAAAGTAATTCATCTCAAGGTGTTAGTGGGTTTAAGGAAGAAAACTACAGGAGCCATTAAAGTTTTAAAATAAGGCACTTCATAATCCAATCACTTTTCCTATCAGAGGAAACTAGTGGAAGAAAGGAGCCCTGTAATAGACAGTGGTCTTTTATTAAAGCCTTTTATAAATATATATTAACATGTTGATATATTCATATGTATTCATATCTCTTATAAATATACTATAAGCATCTACTTTGTACCATATACATCGCTGAACACTGAAGATGCAAAAGAGAATAGCACACTATTCCTAGCCTCACAAAGCTAGCAAAAGCTGACAAGCATGTAATCATATGATAAAATGCCAGGTGAGCTTGCCTAGTCCAGACATTCTGTCCTCCATGTCTCCCTTACCCAGCCGGCCTTAAAATAAAGGGGCACAGAATGGCGGCTCAACATCGTCCCTTCTCTCCCCATCTCGCCCATTCCCTGTCCGGGATACTCACCAAATACAGCACCTTCCCTGCTTAGCACATGAACCTTAACTATGTGAAATGAGGAATAGCGAAAGGCAGGAGGCCTCCACCTTAATACTGCAAAATAATACCTGGCTAGGAATTTTAGACTCAGTTAAAGCATTTGATTTCCCTGCAAAAAGCCAACTTTGTAAGCACGAAGTTGGAATTTGCTATTTTAACTCAAATTTATTACTATTATCTTCTTCTTTGTTTGTAAATATTGGCTAAAAACCAAACCAATCCTGCTATTGAGTTGATTCCAGCTCATAGTAATCCTATAGGACAGAGTAGAACTGCCCCATAGGATTCCCAAGGCTGTAAATATTTACAAAAGGTGACTGTCTTTTCTCCCATAGAGTGGCTGGTGGGTTCAAACCACTGACCTTTTGGTTAGCAGCCAAATGTTTTACCACCAGGTCTCAAGCACTAATAAAAAGAGAATTCTACCCAAATGTCTCCCTATCTCCTACCAACCAGACTTCAGGATCCTCAAATAGGCTTCATTTTAGTGGAAACAAGCTATACTTCAGTGCTCAATATATAAATACTTTAAATATAGAAATTCCATTTAAAAAAATCAACTAAAGAATTTATACAGTTTTTAGCTTTGACTTAATTCTTACTTCCTAGAGTAACGATTATTTTCTTATATTCATACAATATAGATATAAGTTTGCATTCAGAATGCTCATTTCCTTTTCTGAAAACTTTTTTTTTCTTTAATTAAAAAGTAAACTGTTCACTTCAACATTGCAGGTTTCCTAGGCCTGTACATAATAAAAGGCTGGACCTTGTGCCTATTATTTATCATTATCTTGGTTTGTGTGCATTGAAAATGTTAGTATCATTCATACAGTTGTTAGTTTCCTAACATGGAAGGAAGGCTATCCATTTTACAGCTCAATTGAGTGCCTCTAGGTTATAAGCAAAAGGACAAATACACAAAGAGATTAAGTGACTTGCCCAAGATCACATAGCCCATAATCCCAGGCCAGCATCCCTTCTGGTGCATTATAAAGATTCACTGAAATGTGTAGTGTAATATATGCTGCAGTGTTTCTCATATAGTGCTCCAGTGGTAACCTCTATTAAACAAGCAGTGGTGTTAAGTTGCCTTCTCCTTCCTCTTTGTCCTCTTATAATTTCTGATTCTTTTTCTTATACTGTATAGGCCAAAAAGATAAAATCAGTGCATTCCTGGTTGCAAACCAGTATCCAAGCTGATCAACCTTATGCCACATGACTTCTTTTCCTTCCTCCACCCAGACCACTATACTCCAACCCTAAGAGTTGAAAAGGAAAAAAAAAAATGCCTTTTTAACTTTAATTGGTCATTTTAGTTCTAATTATTTCCTGGTCAAACTGTACAAAACATGATTGATATGAGATCTATACAAACACATGAATCATGACTGGTTATCAAAGAATATGAAGTCATGTACATAACTAGTATGGAAATAAAGAATTAAGACATAATTATCTATCTTGGACTTTTTTTCAATTAAAAGTTGAAAGACCTTAGAAAACATTTAGAAATGGTTACTTAGAAACAAAAGAAGTCTAAAGAAGCTTGGTATCTGCCAATCCTGTATCTACAGCATCATGATAAAATCATCTCTTACTCCAGGAAAAAAAAAAAAAAAAAGATAAATATGTCATGATAAAGTCAGGTCAGGAAGTTTTGTGTGTGCCATTTGGTTAACTGCCCAAATTAATCATGTTCATTTTGCTTTATAACTAAAGCCCTGAGGCACAGTGGTAAAAGCATTCAGCTGCTAACCAAAGGGATGGTGGTTCAAATCCACCAGCTGCTCCATGGGAGAAAGATGTAGCAGTCTGCTTCTGTAAATATTTACAACCTTGGAAACCCTATGGGGCTGTCCCACTCTACCCCATAGGGTTGCTATGAGTCAGAATCGACTCAACAGCAAGAGGTTTTATTTAACTTGATAAGAAATTGTGTAGCCACACTAGTGTAGCCAGTTTTAGGAATCATTTCCAAATAGTATAATCTTGCAACAGTGTGCTTTCTTTATGCTAAAAAAAGAATGGGCCCATCTAGATTTCATTCACCAGGAAAGATTTCTGCTTTTATTTCAACAAAGTGTAATATAGTTCACTAGAAATAAATGCAAATGCATAACTGTATCTTCATATAAGCAACCCTATATAAATAAATGTGAGTGATTGTACATATCAAATTGGATAGAAGATTCAAATACACCCTGTTCATAGGGCCATTATGATGATGATGTTGTTATGTGCCATCGAGTCAGACCTGACTCACAGCGACCCCTCCTGGGTTTCTGACGCAGTGTCACTATGGAAGTAGATTGCACCATCTTCCTTCCAAGGAGTGGCTGGTGGGTTTGAACCGCCAGCCTTCTGGTTAGCAGTCAAGCGCCTTAGGCACTGTGCTACCAGAACTCCCAGAGCCATTATATCAGGGCTACATCAAGGATTTGAAATCATTTATTTATACTTTGTAATAATTTAAATATAATTTTTTAAGGTTATTTAAAATGTTGTTGAATCATAGGAACCTGAAGACTAAAAATGTGTATGTCCAGCTATTTAGCTTTTCATTTTATAATATTGAAGGAGAGAATGAAATTTGCATATCTTATTTTTCAGCCATTGTGGACTTTATATATTTTGTCTTTGAATTCTCTGTTATTAACCACCTTCCAAGAATATAAATTTGAAAAAGAATAACTTTGGAAGCAAATTGTAATTGGCAAAACTGATTAGCTTTTACAGATGGGATTACTTGAGATAGAAAAACACAGACTATGTCTATCACGATGTAAGTGGTATGGACAAGCTAAGAGCTGATTGTAATTTAATTGTTATCTTTTTCTCCCCATCTCTGCTCTGTCGCATACACTGTCTGAAAGAAATGGTCAAACTCCCATTATTTCCCTTATAGCTGTACTAGATTTTCTATTTCCATTCAGTCATAGTTCAGAATGAATCACTAATCACTTAAGTATATTTCATTGCCTTACAAATATTGTCAAATGCTATTTCCAAATTGTGAATGACTAAACACTACAAACAATAGATTAATGCCACTCTAGTAGTGTACTCTATATGACACTATGTAGAATATATAAGATTACGTATATAAGGAGCCCTGATGGCACACTCATTAAAAGTGCTTGGCTGCTTGCTAAAAGGTCTGCAGTTCAAACCCACCAGCTGCTCCATGGCAGAAAAATGTTAACAGTCTGCTGTCTAGAAGTGCTATGGGGCAGTTCCATTCTCTTATATTGTTGCTATGAGTTGGGAGCTCTGGTAGCATAGTGCCTAAGGCACTTGACTGCTAACCAGAAGGCTGGCAGTTCAAACCCACCAGCCACTCCTCGGAAGGAAGATGGGGCAATCTACTTCCATAG